AATGGCAACTGGAAACTGGAAGTGAGACTTGATGGCCACATTTGGAAACATTGCAACTGGAAGTGACACTTAATGGCCATATTTCGAAACATCGTATCTGGGAGTGACACATAATGGCCACATCTGGAAACATTGCAACTGGAAGTGACACTTAATGGGCACATTTCGAAACATTGTATCTGGGAGCGACACATAGTGGCCACATCTGGAAACATTGCAACTGGAAGTGACACTTAATGGCCATATTTGGAAACATTGCATCTGGAAGTGACACATATTGGAAACTGGAAGTGAGACTTAATGGCCACATTTGGCAACATTGCATTTGTAGTAATGTCATAAAAGTTAAAATGGGTTGAATTTTGTTTCCACATATTTGTTGAATTAGTTGGGGTAAAAGGCAAGCTGAAGTGTCAATAAAGAGATTTTGCCTTTTACGCCCATAGTGTGCTCATATATTGTAGCCATTTTTAGACTTTGGATAAGATCGCAAAAAGTGGACCTGCATGTTATGTAAGCATGCGTCTCCACATGCTATCTCAGACATGCCTTGACTTCAGAGATGCATCAGGCTTCATATATCACGTAACAGATATGCACATATATTTATTTGACAATTCAATTCAAGATGGCTAAATTGGAGGCATTTTAATGTTAAACATTCTTGGGCGTGCATAGACAAGTTTTGTTCAAATTTGGTATGTACGATGAACTTTATTGGACCTTAATCCACATCATTTTGTTTGTCAGATCAGACTCAAAATGTCTGACTGGTGGCCATTTGGATTTAGTGAATGCAGTTCTGGAGCCATGTCTCTGACATGTTCTATCTGTTCTTGTTCAAACTTTCTATATTTCTTATTGTAATGATTACAATGTTTATTTTTTTCACTATATCGCTACTTTTTTTCTTTAAGTCCACTTCTCAAACTTTCACTTTAAAAGCTCATAGAACGCACTTATTGGTCCCCGTTCGGGTGCAGTCCGAAAACAGGGACTTGTAGATTGATCTCTGTGCGTCTGTGTATCCGTGCGTGCGTCCGAACCTCTATCTTAGACTTGCCTGGACCGATTACATTCAAACTTCACACATACATCATACATATACATAATGCACATCCATTTGTTTCATGATCTGATTCAAGATAGCCGAATGACTGCCATTTCTGTGCGAAGAAAATCATCAAAATCAAAAATTTATGGATGAATGTTGTTATTCAGATCGTATATAAAATGGCTGACTGGCTGCCATTTTGTTTTACTGAATGCAGTTCTAGTGCCATATCTCTGCCATGCTTTGACTGATTATAAATTTTTATTTATTGGCTTGACTATCTGGTTAAAAATGGACGAACGGCGGCCATTTTTGTGCAGAAAAATTATCAAAATCAAGTATTTATGAATGGATTTTGTTCAAACTTGGTACATACATTGGATATTATGGGACCTTATGCATGTCATTCTGTTTTTCGGATCGGATGATTTAAAATGGCTGACTGGCGGCCATTTTGTTTGTTTGCCATATCTCTGCCATGCTTTGACTGATTTATATTCATTATAGATCATGTGATAGATATATAGATATATTGGTTTGACTATCCGATTCAAAATGGCCGAATAGCAATTTTTTGTGCTGAAAAATCATATCAAAAATTTAGAGAAGGATTTTGTTCAATCTCGGTACATACATTGGACATTATGGGAACTTGATGCATGTCATTTTGCGGATTCAAAATGACTGACTGGCGGCCATTTTGTTTTAATGAATGCGGTTCTAGAGCCGTATTTCTGACATGATTTGATTTTTATATATTCATTATACATCATTAGTTTGATAACTAACGGGGACTGTGTTATGCATGGCTTGTTAAATAATTTATGTGTGCAATGCATTATGGTAGCAAATTCCCTATTGATTGTATTAGAAAAATATTACTAAAATTTCGCCATGCAAAAACCAAAAGAAAAGTCACAAACATTGTACTGTGATCGCATTTTATGCCTGGCTATGTTCTTGGTATGAAATTAAATTGCATTCAATTCAATTATCAATAGAGTGTAAGGTTCAAAGGTATATGTACTTTGTAAAGTTGACAGGTCATGACACTTTACTAAAGTCCAAACTCACAGAAACACATCAACATGACAGAAAATAATGGGTAAGATATAACTGCTATTGCTAAAGTTTTGTTTATGGATTTATGCTTATGAATCTTGTAATATTAACTTTTAAATGTGAATCACCAAAATTAACTTTTAATTTGTTTTCTATGTTTCCCAAGATTTTGATCAAGGTCTGAAGCCAATGAGAAATATTGAACCAAATGTTGAACCAAATGCTGAACCAAATGTTGAACCAAATATTGAACCAAATGTTGAGCCAAATGTTGAACCAAATATTGAACCAAATGTTGAACCAAATATTGAACCAAATGTTGAACCAAATGTTGAACCAAATGTTGAATCAAATATTGAACCAAATGTTGAACCAAATATTGAACCAAATGTTGAATCAAATGTTGAATCAAATATTGAACCAAATGTTGAGCCAAATGTTGAACCAAATATTGAACCAAATGTTGAATCAAATATTGAACCAAATGTTGAACCAAATATTGAAAAATATGAAAATATGAAAATGATTCATAGAATGCCAACACCTAAACTTGTATTCTAGAATTTGTTTATAGCTGGATATATTAATCTGTGGCAGTATGAGGGTTTTACAAGTATACTGTAAACTATAGGTTGCACTACAATTGTATCGATGGACACGTGATCATGTCATGTCTGAGTGCATACTGTATGGTATTATTGTGATAACATTTATACATTTTTAGCTCCGCTGTCGACTTTGTCGAGCGGAGCTTATCATGTTCATTTTTTGGCTTTTTCTGGAAAACTACAAGCCTTAATTCTTTGATACTTGCTGTATATGTACCTTGGGCAGACCACTCTTAGAATTATTCATTTCATGATGATTTCATTAATTCTCTAAATTTGGTGAATATTTTGTCAATTTTGGTAAAAAGTTATATTTTCGACTCCTTGTTGAAAACTGCAAGTCTGATTGCTTTCAATTGGTACTATATATATATAGTTACCACAGGAAGAACTGTCTCACGAGATTTATTCATTTCATGATAATATCTTTAATTCTCTAATTTTGATGAATATTTTTGTCATTTTGGGTAAAAAATTATATTTTCGACTTCTTGTCAAAAAAAACATATTGCTTTGATACTATACATATAAGTACCTCAGGTGGACCTCTCTCGGTCAGGGGCTGCTTGTTTTTTTATTCGTAGTATTAATAATTTAATAAGACAGAGCATCACAAAATGGCATCAGAAAACATTTTGAACTATACAAATTTGTTTTCGTTTTT